ATTCTGCCAATCAATAAAATATTACCACCTGCACAATTACTTGTAATACAGATTTTGTGTGCAATTTCAATATTATTTTACTGAACCCTACTCCACCTTACTACCTCTCACTTGTATTAAGTTTAAATAAGATTGTAAAACAGTTAGCCACTACTTCTTGTCTAATTTTAAGTATAGTTACTATGTACTATTATCTTAACTAGTTTTAATTAGTTACTATGTATTAGGATTAGTTTGCCCAAAATGCCTCGGCATGATAATGGCTATCTTTGTACTTAGTAAATCAAAATTGTAATTATACACTAACCTTTACAAAGAAATAAACTTTACTTTACTTACTTTACTTCACTAACAATGTATCTATCTCATCTGCTAGAAAATTAATAGGAGGATAATTAGAACCTTCAAAACTAAGGATGCCAACCCCACAATGATTCTCTTCAAATCGCTTGTTGTCTCTAGGCTGGAATACTGCTGTATACCAACTGCCCCCTTCAAGGCAGGTGAAATTGCTGACCTAGAGAGTGTACAGAGAACTTTCATGGCATACAGAAGTACAATAAAGCACCTAAATTACTGGGAACAGTTGAAGTCCATTGATTTGCAGGAGATGCAACATTCCCCCAATGAAAAGCAGGGGTGCAATGAGTACACTAAGAGACAACTCAATAAGTGTCAGGTACCCCAAAACTGTTCAACTGCCTCCCAGCATACATAAGAGGGATTACCGATAGACCCCTAGCTGTCTTCAGGAAGGTGCTGGACTGGCACTTAAAGTCAGTACCTGATCAGCTGGGCTGTGGTTCTTATGTTGGTTTATGTGCAGCCAGCAGTAACAGCCTGGTTGATCAGACCCTGATCCACCACGAAACCTGGTCTCAGACTGGGCCACGGGGGCGATGATTCCTGAAACCCTCTCCAGGAATTCTCTAGGTATACTACTATGTATAATTAATCATGAAAGCTAGAGATTAAAACCAAACAAGTACAGTGGACCCCCGCATACCGATTTTAATCCGTGCAAGAGGGCTCATTGGTATGCGAAATAATCGGTATGCGAATGAATTTTCCCCATAAGAAATAATGGAAACCAAATAAATCCGTGCAAGACACCCAAAAGTATGAAAAAAAAATTTTTACCACATGAAATATACATTTTCCTACACACAAAGAGAAGGATACATGCACAGTAGTAGAGTAGTACATGCACAGTATACATTGTGCATGTACTAGTCTACTAAATGAAGAATAAATGACACTTACCTTTATTGAAGATGCAGCAATGACTGATGAGACACTGTGTCCTGGGAGTGCCTTTTCCTCCTGAGTACTCTAGGTCCTGTTTGGCATTTTCTTCCAGAACAGGCCTTATCACACTGTGTATGTCACTACGATTCTTAAATCTCTCAAACCAACCTTTGCTGGCTTTAAATTCACCAATATGAGCACTAGTTCCAGGCATTTTTCCCTGTTCACCTGGGTGTTAGTCGACTGGTGTGGGTTGCATCCTGGGAGACAAGATTAAGGACCCCAATGGAAATAAGTTAGACAGTCTTCGATGACACTGACTTTTTTGGGTTATCCTGGGTGGCAAATCCTCTGGGGTTAATTGTTTCTTGGTATATTCTCAATAAGCCACACCAACAACAGTGCTACAGCAGCAGCAGACGATGCTACAGCAGCAGCAGACGATGCTACAGCAGCAGCAGCAGCAGCAGACGATGCTACAGCAGCAGCAGCAGCTGACAGTGCAGCAGCAGCAGCAGCTGTACCACCAATAGTAGCGATGGTTGATTGGGGTTCATTATACAACCTGGCCAGCTCGGAGACACGCACTCCACTTTCATACTTATCAATGATCTTTTTCTTCATCTCTATAGTAATTCTCACCCTTATTGCTGTAGGGTTGGCACTAGAAGCTTTCTTGGTGCCCATGGTCACTTATTTTCCAGATAAAATCACCAAAAACACTGTAATAATACGAAATGTTATGATTGTATGCTTGAATGCTACCGCGGAGGCTGGCTGGGAAACAATGCCACCGGCGGAACATGTGAGGCTGGCTAAGGCGCACATTGGACGCGTCTCGGACAAACAGCGGTGAGCGGGTTTTTGAGCGGTATGCAAGGCAAAATTTTTGCGATTAAAGTGAGCGGTATGCGGAATAAACGGTATGTGATGCCAACGGTATGCGGGGGTCCACTGTATACTACCAACTGAAAACAACAGATGAGCATGATAAAAGACCTGTGACCTACTTCCAGTAGCATGATAAAAGACCTGTAACCTGTAGCCTGACTTCCATGACTGACCAGTCAGGCTATTACTACCTGTAACCTACAGACCCACACCCAACACAATCTAGTTCATCAGGCATTCAGTCTTTTACCAGCAATATTTTTTTTAATCTGGTAGTAGAGGATTGAATAATTAAACTACAGATACAGAGATCATTTGCTAATTGTGTTTATGGCATCTATGTTTCCTACTATATCTTTCACTCTTAATGCACTATTTTAGCAAGACAAAGTACAGGTGTCCCTTGCTTTATGCGACCGACACAGACCTCCCCCTTCCACCCCACACACAATGTGGAAAGAGGATAGAGGGTGATGAGGGCTTACTTGGTCTGACTTGAGGGTGGTGCAGGATCGTATAGTCAAATTCCACATGATGATGAGAAGACAGGGTGACCTCCAGACAATGCTTAGGCAAGGGGCTATCATTATCAGACATTAACAACAAAGAAGGCACACTGGTGGAAAGATCAGATGAAATATGGCTAGGGGGTGGGTGAGAGAGACTTCAAGAACTGCAATGTTGAAGACTACTTAGTCATTTGTGGGGCATACAACTCCTTGTAGGCACTAAGGCCATTATTTATATGATATTTGAGCTTCATATTCCTCTCCAGGTATGGGTTGATGTCCATGGCATACTGGGCAATTTCCTTAGTTTGTGTTAAAAATTCTGCCTGCTTCTTCTTTTACATCAAGAACTACTACCATCCTCCTCTTCCAGATTAGCAGCTGTAGCATCTCAATCAGATTAACACTTCATTATATGAATCAATAACCTGCCTAATGTCTTCTGGCTCAAGGTGTGAGAAACCTTTTCTTCCCACCTGCCCCAGCTTGAAAACTTTCAGCACAGTTGTGGACAATTTAGGAAAGCCCCTGAAATTCATACTTCAGTCTTTCAATAGGAACTTTTAAACACTGTAGGTAGGGGACTTCACTTATATTTTGAAAAGTGCACTGACAGCACAAGAGCAAATCTATACTGTACAGTGTATATTTTATGTACAAAACACATATGTCTAACATCATCAAATTCACATCAACTTTTTTTTTTTTTTCTTATTCGCCGGTATTCTCCCGGCCCGGGTCTTTTCAAAGTAGTGGTGACCCGGCCTTGGCTCCCTATCTGGGGAGTATCCCGAGACCTAAGTCTCCCATGGGAGGAGGTACAACTACCCCCTCATCTTTGGGACCAACTGTCCCCAGGCCTAGCCACATTCCCCGCTCTCACGGGGCTCGTAGAGAGAAGCTAGGCCTCTGGTCTGCCATCTACCCCGCCTCAAAGGGGCTTGTGGGGATGGCAGTCTTATGAGCTGCAGGTGGTAGCAAGCTCAGGCCTCATCATCAACTTGTTATGGTCATGACTAATTCACTCTCATAGTACAATAATCATAAAATTAATCAAAGTATTTTTCACATTACACAACACTCAGTCCACAATTCATTGTCATCAGCCATGTCAGCCAATTTAGACAAAAGGGGAAATATCCCAACCATTTATGCCAAAAGATATGCTGGGTTCTTAGGCAAGCACCCTGTGGAGAGATAGGCACCCCTTCCAGAGAAGACTCGTACTCCTAGGCACAAACTACTCAAATTACACCACTGCATTAGGTGAACGAGTATAGGAAGGAGAATTACCAGTAGAAATCGGGATCATAAAGTTAAACTTAATTTGCACAAGCAAACCTCACACTCACGTAAGACAAGGGACTAACGATACACCTGGACTGAGTAATTTTCATGTATGATTATGAGACCTCTTCTCCATTTTATAAGAATGAATTCAGAGTCATTTTAAATTGTTTCAATGTTTCATTGTGAGAAGGAACATAATTCACAGTTTTTAACGCTCAGTGTCTATAAACAAACTGACAATAGATTTCGTTTTCAAAAAGTCAAGACCCATAATAGGAACTGATTTCCATGTTATTATATTCATGAGGGAAGGGAGGGTGCTAAACATTCAGGGGGCATTAAGAGCCTGGGGAATGAGATTCAATCAGGCTCAATCCAAGGAAGGGAAGGTCAAATCTAATTCCTTGGATCAATTATGCCTTACTGGCATCAAGAATACTACTCAAGGAATTTATTTCCATATCCAGATAGAACAGGAGAAAAACTGTATTAATGTTGTTAGAATTCCTGACAATATGTTAGGTAAAAGGACACAAGTACAACATGATATTTTATTGTGACAATGTTTTGCTCTCCAGGAGCTTTGTAATGGATTGGCAAAGATCCTGGAAAGCAAAACATTGCCACAATAAAATGCTACATTAAATGCACTTGTGTCCTTTTACCTAACAGGAGAAAAATTACCAACTATGGTTGGCATAAAGTGAAGCAATATCCCCTTCTCACTTTAATACAATGACTTCAGTAAACCCATCTTACCTGGTCAGTTATCCAACAGCACTGTGGAAAATATTGAAAAGATGTTAGCTTGAAGTTCAGTCATGGTTTAGGGAAAAAACACTGCCTAATAAACATTTTGATAAAGGAAGGTGACAATTCTATTCATCTGGGAATTTCTTCCTGAGGTGGGACAATCACATAGTGACCCACTCAGTAGAATTTTTGATCATTTGACCATGACCCTCTGCTGACTTACCTGTTCACTCCATGAAAAATTTGTCATATCTTTAGATGTATATATCTATGTACTGTACTCTACTAATGATTAAAGTATAAATTTACCTGAAATAGCTCTCCATTAGAGATGTAACCATCATTGTCCATGTCATAGATGCGGAATGCAAATCGCATCTTGCTTTCCTTGTCGCCTTTGACACTAAACTGAGACATTCCCTGAATGAACTCTGAAAGACAGATATTACTGTATTAGAACAATGGTTTGTTTCCTATCGTAAGTCTAGACATTGTTTACCATACACAAAGAACAGATTTACATATGAAAATACACATAGCAATTTAAATGCTGGTATGCATACACGTCATAAAGTACAAAAGTTGCGAACTAGTTAAACCGATCACAATGTTTATTCATAACTTTCATGTAGGTTAACTAAAAATCTGTTTAGTATGAAAATGCAGGTTTACATTCACTATCTTTTTATCTTTTAACAAGTTGGCTATCTCCCTCCGAGGCAGGGTGACCCAAAAAGAAAGAAAATCCCCAAAAAGAAAATACTTTCATCATTCAACACTTTCACCTCACTCATACATAATAACTTTTTTTGCTGAGGAGCCCAGAACACAACAGTTCAGAAGCATATACGTATAAAGATATACAACATATCCCTCCAAACTGCCAATATCCCAAACCCTTCCTTTAAAGTGCAGGCATTGTACTTCCTGACTATATAAAAATAATCGGTTTCCCTGAATCCCTTCACTAAATATTACCCTGCTCACACTCCAACAGCTTGTCAGGTCCCAAATACCATTCATCTCCATTCACTCCTATCTAACACACTCACACATGTTTGCTGGAAGTCCAAGCCCCTCGCCCACAAAACCTCCTTTACCCCCTCCCTCCAACCTTTTCGAAGATGACCCCTACCCTGCCTTCCTTCCCCTACAGATTTATACGCTCTCTATCAATTTTATCACAGGTAGGGTACATCAGCTAGATAATGTGATACACTGTATTAAACAGGCTCCAAACATGCACTGTTTTGTCTAACGAGGTTCTGATTTTACAACAGTGGCACTTTGGAACCAATGACTTATGAATACACTCGATCTTCCATTACAAAGAACTAATGGTTTACTTATGGCTGAATTATAAATATCTTTTTTTGTTAGTGTTTTAATAAATGTATTTATATTTAGCATAAATTAATTTTATGAATATACAGTGTCCACATTTGTCTAGCAGATACTGGTCAAGAATAATAGATTTAATTTTAGCAAATTTTAAGTCTGGTAGAAACTATCAGCTACTGCAGCATACTGGATATGTCAGCGAAATCCAAGACAGCATGAGCTCACCACCACCACCTTCCCACACTACATATCCACTCCTAATCTAACCCTCCTCTTCCCTCCATACTCATGTGTGCACACACATAAACGGCTACAAGGCACAGGAAGCAGAAGCTGAGGGGGTGGCAGAAGAGAATACCCAGCATCGTGAAACTTCACAAGGCTCACCCACCTGCCTACCTCCTAATAAATTGCATTCCTACTTCTCCAACACTAACAGTAACCCCCACACCTTTCCCCTCCCCCAGTAATAATGCACACTAATCTCCTTACCTGCCTCCTCCTGACAGGTAAGTAATGAAGAGAGCACAAACACAAACCTAAGCACTGTAAATGAAAGAAGGCTCAGTGTATAGTGCCCAAATGTAGACAGATTCTTGAAGAGGAGTGGCAAACTGAAAGAACAAATAGCAGAGGTAACCCCAGACATATCTATCATGAAGACAAAACTAAATTAAACATATGCCATATCCCCAGCAGGATATCTAGAAAGGAAAAAAAACAAAGGGAGAGAAGGGCTGCATTGCTAATTGGAAATCAGTGGAGTTCTGAAGAGATGAGAGGGACAGACAGATATGAGCTAAATTACTGTACTACATAGTGGGCACAATGAAGACTGGGAACCCAAAGTGATAGCATCAATGATCTACAACTCACCACCAAACAGTAGGAGACTTAGACAACAATGAAGCAATAGGCGACACCTTATCGAAAGTAGCAAGAAAAGCCTATGGGCAAAAAACAAAACTAATAATCAGGGAATATTAAATAAAAAAAAGAAAGACTGGGAAAGATCCACATGGGGGACCAGAAACAGGGTTATGATGATGAAAGTATATTTAAAAACATTTTGTATGTCACAATAATAGGTGTAGACTGCTGGCCATTCCAACTTGGCTTGTTAAGAATCTAAGTGATTTTTGCCCATTAGGGACTTTTATCAATTTAGTACAGACATGAGAAAGGAGTAGGGGTAGGGGTCATCCTAGGAAAAGGTGGATGGAGGGGTAAAAGACGTTTTGTGTGCAAGGGTCTTGGACATGCAGCAGGAAAGTAAGAGCATTTTTGATAGGGTGAATGGGGGGACTAAGGGTTTTTTGGGCCCTGAAAAGCTTTTGGAGGGGCGGGCTAAAAATTTTTAAAGGAAATTCGGGGAAACCAGTTAAAGGGGTTGATCCAGAGGTGGGAAGTAAGTGCTGCACTAGAACCCTTTCGGGGGCCCCAGAGGCCAAATTTCCGAGTGTGCACCAGTGTAAAGAATTTTCAAAAAAAAAAATTTTTTTTTTTTTTTTTTAAAAAAGGGTTTTGGAATCTTTTTTGAAGGTATAAAAAAAAAAGTAAAAAATTTGATGGAAAATTGACGAAATTTTACTTCGCGAATTTGATGTGTCAGCGATTTTACACTCGCGATTTTCCCGTTTGACCCCCTTTCAGGCCAATTTAAATAGATTACAGGGGCCCCCCGCTTTTTGAGCCCCCGGCAATCAAAATTTCGCCAATCATGGGGCATTTTCGTATAACGTGGACTCGTTTTTCATAGGTGCTCGGAGTGTAGTTTGTAGGGGCTACCCAAGGGGGGACCCGGGGGCGGCAGCCGGTCTGGCTTTTTTTACCAGTGGCGAAGGTCCCCTCACGTGCTCCAGCGAATTTTTATAATTTCCTTTTATTTTAGTGCTTGCAAGTATTAAAAAGCTCCATGGCCCCAAAAGAAAGCTCCTAGGCCAACCCCTGTGGTAAAGAAGGTAAAAAATACGACTAAATTTAAAGAAAACCATCATTGAACAATTGAAAGTGGTAAAATGTGGGGCCCCGAACGCCCAGGATTTTAAGAAACCCTACAAAAACTTAGTTCCATAGTGGCCAAGGACCTGTTTTTGTAAAGGGGAACTTGCTGAAAAATGAGTCCTAGTATTTGAAAGGTTGAGAAAGTTATCTTGGTGTGGAAAATAAAACAATTAAGGGATACTCTTATGACTTCATATTTGTGAAAAGGCTAGGCGTTGTGAAGATTTTGGAAAGAAATTCCCCTGAAAATTTGGGGTGATGTGGGGAAATTTTAAAGGCCGAAAAAGGCGGGTTTGAGAGATTTAAGAACCATACTGGAAATACCATTTGTGGTAAGGCATGGTGAGGCGCCATTTCCCGGACCACAAGGTGGCTAAAAAATATTGCAAAATTCCAGGAGTACATAAGGGTGAAGGACGAAAAACCCGAACAAGTGTTCAAATTTTGACAAAACAGGGCCCTTTTGGAAAGAAAAAGCCAAAAAAGGACCTTCATTCACAAGGGGGAAAAAGGCAAAGCCAGGACACAAGCCCATGAAAGACAGCGACGCAAATCCCGGGGCTAATGCTGTGGGGGTTTCAAAATGAAGCCATTTCTAGTGTTTCCCCTTCTGAAATCCGAGTGTTCAGGAAAAACAAAGTTATGAAGAGTAAAATTGGTGTGTTTTGGAAATCTAATAGTAAGGGTGGGGCAGAGGGAAAAATTTTGTCAGTGGTTCAATGAGTGTTTGGCCCTAGGGAAAGGGGTATCTCCTGGAAAGAAATTGGATCTCAAGTGCCCGCAGTAAGGACAATGCACCCGCTACCCCCCAAACTTGGGTACCAATTTTTGAGGAGTTTGGGTTTATCACGTAAATTCTTGCCCCCGAATACCACTCCTCTCCCCCAACCCCAAAGGGCCCCCAGGTTATTTCAAAATTAAAAAAATCTACAAAAAACAATGTTTTACAGGTGCTTGACTGTGACCCGCATCACTTACCCTAAGGGAATTTTGGGAGAACACTTCAGCACCTCCATTGCAAACCCCCTTTTAAGGTATGGGTTGGGGGGAGTGACTACCGGCTTTGAACCCGCCCGGAAAAATTGTGAAAAGATTGTGTCGACAAGAGGGATTTTGAAGGATTTTGGGGCTGACCCTAATAAGCCTTTTCTTGTAAAAAAAATTGGGGGGTTTCCCCGGGAGTTCCCTGGGTTTGGGTGTGAGTTTGGGGATTGGAAAATTTTTTGGAAGACCACAATGAAGAGCTCACCCCTGAAAGCTGCAAGGCTTTAGCAGGAAGAGCAACAATCGCAGCTCAGAATCTTTCTGCAGAAGAGGGGAAAAGAGATGGAGAAGGTGCCTTCTTCAGAAAATTAAAAAGATTTTTACTTGTGGGGGAAGATGGAAAGCTTTTTGGGAAAAATCCCCAAGCCAGGGTTTGGGAACATGTCAGTAAAAGTCTTGGGGGCCCTTTTTGGGAAGTGTTAAAGAGACGCCGAAAAGAGCTCTCTCAAAAGTTATTTTTCGAGCGGGGCTCCAGTGACTCAAGGTGGTCCTAGTGGCATTAAGAAACAGAGAAGAGAAGCAACCCAGAAAAGCAAATGGTACCTGAGGGTTGATGGAAGGGGATTTCCCTTCCAAACTATAAACAATCCACTCTCTCCTCCTCCTCCAGTCTCCCATACACTAAGAAGAATCTCCAAAAAAGGTAAGTGTTATGCTGTTAATGTTTCATTCATCATTTCCCATTGTATTGTTTATGTACTACATGTATATTTCATGTAAAAAAAATTTTTGTTTTAATACTTCTGGGTGTCAGGAACGGATTAATTGTATTTACATTATTTCTTATGGGGAAAATTGATTCGTAAATCGTAAATTTTGTTTATAGTAACAGCTCCAGGAATGGACTAATTACGAAAAACGAGGGACCACTGTACTTCTATTCTATCGATTGAGCACAAGAAATTGCCAAGTCAACTGTTTCAACTACAAAATAAAGTGATTGGAAACTGGTAATTTGGCCATTTTAATGCAAAGTTCAAAATATTCCAATTTCAAAATAGGGTCCAGAATAAGCAATGCAGGCATTCCTGGCACTAAACTA